TTGTTAAAGCAAAATATGGATTTATGTCTGACGAATGCCGTCTTGTGGGATGTGGCGCCGTGTAGATCTTGCGTGAATCGGCGTTTCGGAGGAATTTATCGTCTCGAAATTCAGGGTAGAAAAATCCGCGAGCAAGGAACCAGTGTGAGCAGACTGAATGAGGAGAAGTATGGACATTTATATTCTATTGTTACTTTGCAGGAACTGCATGAGACAATATGAAATAGCTGCTACAATTATGGAGTTTGTGTGATAATCAAAAACTCGTCCTAATCGTTCAATGCTCAATGTTCACTATGTTTACCACATCCTATGACATTAAAAAAAAATCTCTGCATTGTTTGTCTCAAAGTATAGTCATGTGTTTTAATTTTCAAAATTAACAGCGATTGTTTTTCTAGACATCTGTAAGATATGGAGAAAGGAACCTGTTTCCTGTGAGGTACGAGCTGAATTCTGAAACTACTGTTTAGAATACAACAAATTCATGCAGCCTTCCCGGTTTAATTAATAAAAATTAGTTCTATTCGCTGTAAAGGCAGGCAAATTATATTAAGCAATTCACCCTTATTTCAGGAAAACAAAATTCAGCGGCCCTTGTCTAAAACCGTTATTTCTCAATATCGTAACGTCTTCATTGTTACATTACCCTAATAAGAAGGACAAGTGGGCGAAACCTGGGAACCTTCTATCTGCCCCTCGCCCCAGAATATATTTCAGTAACCCCATCACGTTCGCTTTCATCTCCTCTTTTACTGCTTCTGTTTTCATTTTTCTTCGTGCTTCGAAGGGGATCAGCAATTATACCTTGTATAAGTGGATGGAATTATTTTGGATTCTTTCCTCAGGGTTAAAGCGGCCAGGGTGTGCAGCTGTCCCTTCACCTCCATCTAGCGCAGAAGTCAAGAGTGGTGGAGTTAAACCTCCACTTCCCATGTGTTTCTATGGCGTGGTGATTAATTAATTAAGTACAGGGACAGTTTTATTTGTTTAACTTATGCTGGAGAGCCGGGACAGCGCAGTCGGTATAACGGCTGGCTACGAGCTGGACGACTGAGAGGTCGGAGTTCGAGTCCCGCTAGAAGAATTATTGTCTCTTCTTCACGTAGTCCAGACCGGCTCTGGGGCCCACCCACCCTCCTACCTAATGGGTATGGGGGCTCTCTTCCCGGGGGTAAAGCGGTTAGGACGTGAAGCTGACCAGTCACCTCCAACTATTGCCGAGGTGTAGAAAATGTGGATCTATATATCCACTCCCCCATACTCCTTCATGGCGTAATGTTTAATTAGTTAAGTACAAAGTCACTTTAAACTGATATGATCGGATATTAATAGTAGGAGAGGCTGATTTACAGCCATCGTCCAAGTTTCAGACTTCAGACTTGGCAGGATTGTTTGATACAAATACAGTATATCTGAAGTAAAGAACAACACTGTTAGGCCTCCCGAGGAAATAACATAATACAGACCAAACAGGTTTGTCTAACAGTGTCGCCCTAGATCTGCATTCAGGAGGTGTTCCGTTCGAACCCTGGACCGGACACTGACTAATGGATTTCTCGTTGTCTTCCTTAGTCATTCCAGGAAAATGTAGGGATAGCACCTCGGTTAGACCATAACAGCTTCCTTCCAAATCATTTGCAGTTCATCAGGTCATCCTACAGTTCGATGCTACATTGTCTGCGTTACTGGAAGCGTAGTTAAATAACGCAAAAGAAATATATTGAGGCACTATGCTACAAGCTGGAAAGTCGAGGTTTCGATTCCCGATGAAAATATTGGATTTTTCAACTGACCCACTCCTTCCAGCCTCACTATGGCCCTGGGGACTATTCAATCTCTACATAAATGAGTAACGGAAATCTTCCTGGGGGTAAAGGGAGGAAGGCGTGTAAGGCTGAAAAGCTCACCGCAATTTGTAATTCAATTGTCCAGAAAATGTGGGAGCCTCGACGTCTCACAATCCTATGGGCCCCCACGGTGTGTTACAAGGATAGCTTTACCTTTATATGTATAGGGAATATAAGATACGAATTGAAGGGGAAATACTCAAGTTGTGACTTTCACTGCCAGTTTAACTAAAAGAGAGTGAAAAAATATTAAATAAGTTTTAATTGGTAAAGGTAAAGTTGTCCCTCTGCTTAATTAAGCACCATTTTTTTCCTTGGCACTACAGCCCCAGTGGGCCTAGGCCTACCTCCATGAACTTATCCGTTCACTTCGGTTTTTCTAGATCTTATACATTCGGTAGGACTCCTTGGGCGGGTGATCAGCTCGTCGCAAGGCCTCTACCTGTACACAAACACAGAAAAACGCACACACACAAACTAAACATCCATGCCCTGAGTGGGATTCGAACCCACGATCCTGGTTTCCAAGCGAGCGAAGACAGTACATGCCTTAGACCGCTCGGCTACCGTGACCGGAAATTAAGCACCATGCCAGGAAAAATTTGGGGGGTAAATGGAGGTATACCTCCACACATAGACATCAGCGCTACGTGGAAGAAAGAAGAGAACTTTAGGCTCCGGTCGCTTTAACCCGGCGAAAAGGCTCCGGTAAACACTGTATAGGAGGTTATGTGAACTCCAGAGCTGGTCTGGACGATTTGACCCTCTTGACCCTTCCGGAAATCGAACCAATATTTCTCGGTCACCCAGCCCTTATCCTGTTCATTACACTTACGGAGCAGGTACACCCTGCCGAAACATTACTTTGCCCGCGCAATGCGCATACCATAAGTGCAGGCCTACTTCAAACAGACATGCTGTACCAATATGTTTATTTTCCAAATCACGGGACAACATAAGTGGAAAGGGTAAAAGTTTTGATGTTCCTTTGCACGAGATAAGTTTTTTTAAAGGAAGCCATCATTGCGAACTTTATATTCTATATTTTGACACTCCTTATCATTTTTATGACGCAAACCAGATGACTCTAATTCGCCGATGCAAGTGGGCATGCGCGGAAGCGAAGCAGAATCACTCAGACCATTCCAAGCGGTGTTTTGATTATAGAAGCCAGTACATAAAGCAGGGTTGACCAGTTATTTTGGTTCTTTGGGCCTTATAACTGTGCTGTAACATATTTGAGGGTATGGCCTCTCTTGAATAAGCAACCTTGCATGTTAGAAGTCCTGTGTGTCCAACGAAGTCGCCATTATGGAGGTTTTGTTGTAGCGGAAGCTACTAGAAATAGGGCATAATTTGCTGTACTGATCCTGGACTGACAGAGACCCTATATATATTTTATATACATTTATTAACACGTTTTATATGTAAAATGTAAATATTCTTTACATTATGACTTATTATTGCAGACAATGACTCTGAAAAAAAACATCCTCTTCAGAGAGGGCGCCCCCCAAAGACAAGACTGTAACTGTTAAACAGTAACTACTATTTGGTCATGAGCCCCAGATGGGGCTCGATAACAAAATAGACTGACTGACTGACCGTCAGTCGCAATTTGACTTTGACATTGACTTTGACTAAGGCGATTTTGGTTCAAATAATACTGTCACGTATCCGGGGCTTGCGTGACTTATAAAACGGATTTTGGACTTGATCGAATTTATTGGACCTTTCTACAACTTCTTACAATATTTGACAAAACACTGTCTTGAAGTAGACACTCTCAACTTCTAGTGGTTAAGGCACTATGCTACAAGTCGGAAGGTCGCGGGTTCAAATACCGATGAGATCATTGAAGTTTTTTCAATTGACCTAATCCTTCCAGCCGCACTATGGAAAGAACACTGGGATCCCACTCAAGGCATGGATGTCTGTGTGCCTTTATTCTGTGTTTGTGTTGTCCTGTGTTTAGGTAGCGGCCTTGCGACGGGCTGATCTCCCGTTTCGAACTGAAAAAGCGGCCAGAGCCCAACAAAGGGCTGTATAGCAATTGATGAAAAAATGAAAAATGAAGTAACTGTGTGTCGGAAACCGTTCGGAATAGGACACACGTACATATGCAGTATTTGCTTAGAATGACCGACACCATGACCTACCAGAATGTTGATCTTTCCTCCTCGAACATCGTGTAGATTGTTCCCTGATGCGAGATCATTAGCCTCATGTCCGAACCTCAGCCCATAGGACCAGAATGTACCTTCCGCCATTCAAGCTTCGGCAAATCTGCTTGGGATTTCCCCTTCCTTTAGTGTTGCTACCCACGTGATCTTGGCATGAGGAACCACACCCCGCCCCCGAACAGTAGTGAGTGTCACGTCTCTATCGATGTATAATTGTGAGTGTGCAATTCATATTTCTTATTTATTCCCAGAAGAAATTTAAAATTCGTAACTAATATGGGTTTAAAGTGTTCAAGCTTAGAAAGAGATAAGGTGAAGTTGAAGTTCTCACAGTCGTGACTACACGCAGTGCTGTTTTTCGTGTTGTGGCTTCATGTAGTCCGGTAGATTTTCAACGATGTTTCGGAGGGGCATACTGCCTCCATATTCAAGGTCAAGAAATCCTAGAAAACCATCAGCAGGAAGCAAACAGCAAGTGGGGTAGCTTCCTGTATGTTACTTCCTAGCATTTCTCTTGACCCTGAACATGAAAGCAGTGAATTCCTCCGAAATGTCGACGAATTTCCCCCACACTGCACACCCCCAAGACATTGAAGGTAACATTTTCTTTTAGCTTTATTAATTGAGCACAATCTCCAGATTTCTTAAATCGGCAGTGAATGGAAGTGAGTGGTTAGCTTCAAGCGTTCGCCGCCTTAACCTCGAGACTCGTTGTGTAGAAGATTGGTTGAGCCCCAGGGCAAGTCTGGACGTTCTGAAGAAGAAACAATTTTTCTTTTGACCCTGACGGGAATCGAACCCTGATTCCTCGATCGTTCGACTCATAACTATGTCGCCATATGGACTTAGCTATCCTGGCTCTCTCGAATAACAGTACACTTCAAAATAAATCACGTCTGCTCTTTAACACTGTTTAAAATTTACAGCTAAATTAAATTAGATTTATATGCGCAGTCTGAATTTGCATGGTTGCAGTCGTTAACGTATAATATCGGGGGTTGGTTTCATAAGACTGTCCGACGGAATCAGTCTCGCAGGCCCCATTTTGCTATTCCTTCTTGACTTAAAAGCTCGTATAATTTGCTCAACTGAAAGCTATTACTGCAGGACTATTGGCGCCATGTTTTGTTCAAACAAACAGAAGACAGTCGTGGTCAAAAGGGGGGCTAAGGCCAACCAGTCAGTCTTCTGCGGCGGTACAATTGACAACCCCCCCCCCTTTTTGACTAATTTCTGGAAAAGATCTTGAAAATCAAGTGGCGGTAATATACAATTATTATACAATAATGTAAATAAAACTGTTTAAGAATGGTGACGTCATGCCGCAGCAGCGATCGTCTAGACTCGTATTTGTGATGTATGCGGTTCGAATCTCGACCGGAATATCGCCTGTCTTGACTGAGGTACTTCATGGTTTTCCCCAGTCCATCCATGCAACTGTCTGGATGATACCCCACTGAGGTTACCAATACAAATGTCTTCCATTCTATGTGTTTCATTTAGATCTTCAAATTAAAACAAATTGTAGCATTTTTCATCTCCTCCATATGCGTTACTTTTCTTCATACTTTCATTATCTATGATTAGATCACCCTAAAGATGTTTGGCAAGGAGTATAAATTGTGGGGTTCCTCATTAGGCAGCTTTGTCCGCCATATTGCCACCTCATCTCTCTTAGGCCCAGATAGTCCTCAGTAACCTATTATCAAACATCCTTAATCTGTGTATTTCTCTTAATGCGAAAGACAAAGTTTCACACTTATGTAAAACCTCAGACAAAATTATAGTTTTGTATTGTGGCGTATAGACCCGTTGCTAGGCAAGGACCTCGAAACAAACAACGAGACAACAGCCGTTGCTATGCAACATCCGTGCCGATGAGTTATTTTGAAGGTAATTGGAACGACCCTGTTAGTTGTTAGTTTACAGTTGAGAGTTGAGTTCTGGACGGGAGTTTGTGAAGATACATAAATACTGAGCGCGTGAAACTGAAGAATCTCCATTGTTAAAGCCGTTGCCAAGGAACATATGGTGAAGATACAACAGGCTGGAAAAGGCTTAGCGAGTGTTGTGGTGATTTGTAAAGTGATAAGTTTAGCGACACTGCTGTAGTTACTTGTAGTTCCAGTGGTGTGTATAAGTGGTCAATAAATCCATTTACCTATCCATATCCCGTCTAGAGTCATACACACCCTTAAACACATGACAATATATTTTAATCCTTACGCTCACATACTAATAACACATTTGGAAAGGAAATTTAAAACCAGTTTTAAACATGTGTTCTCAGGTCTTTCTACATTGCATGTATGAAAATAACATTTTCTGTCTGAAGGACCTTCGAGCGCGCAACTTTATGAAATATACGTCCTGGGTTTCCTACATTATCTGCCATATTACGATATCATTATGTCACGTGCACGGGGATAACGTGTCTAATAATAATGGGTTTTGGATTTGATGATTGGGTTTATTGGCACCTATTCGCAATTACAATTAATTACAACAGCTCACACAATGAACTCCTGAACGTCTGTCTGACGAACCTCTTTGAAGAATCTCTCACTAATCTCGGACTGATCTCTACTACTCTCGAATCTGAGTCTGTCTGACGTTACGACCGACATTCAGTCGGCTAGTCTATCTTGGAATAACGCACCCTTCTGGGGCTTAAGACCAGATTTTTATTATTGTCAGACAGTTGCGTATATGTTGATGTGGTGTGCACCGTCTGACGAGAGGACGCGTCTGTCGGTTACAATTGCTGTCGGCCCTCGCCAGCGCAATCATTCTCGGGTCTGAGTCCCGTGGTACTCGTGACCATATTTTGCTGTTTCAGATTTCAGACTTCTCTTTACGTCGCCTCCTACGACTCGCAGGGTTACGGTGGAGGTATTCGACCCCGCCTCCACACGGGATTATTCTCGAATGCACGAATCAACTCGTTTTATAACTGCCACGCAGCCCTGAGAGAAGTCACCATGTTTAAGGGTTTCACTACTGCTTTTCATGAAGGCGTTGTCTCGGAAACGTGCCTAGCAAAATAAACAATTTATTGTCTGGCTCTACTATTCCGGCTTTTAGACAATGTTTACCGAGCGTTGCTCAGCAATCGACTGTTACACCTGGTTGTCCCGGAAACGTGTTTTAATAAGCCGTTTTCTAGCAATGGATTCCGTCACAATATGTTGAAAATAGAACCTAGCAATTTTAAGATAATGACGTAATAACCTACTGCACTATCTGATGATATCTGAGACACAACTTAAGCTGTCATGTGCTCCTCTGTGAACTTACCACCGCCATTCTGGTAGCAAATGTAGGGGAAGCGCCACACGTTGCCTAGATCCACTGCGAAGCCGATGACGGCCAGAAGGAATTCCACCTTCTTGCCCCACGTCTCCCGAGGCCTGTCTGGTGTCAAGGTCACCGTGACGATTTTTCCTTGCTGCTGGTAGCCGTCCCCTTGCTGCTGCTCGGCCCCCCCTGCTGCCTGGTCCTCCGTTCCCTGATCGCTCGTCATGGTCCCCAGCACGCCCAGAATATGAGCCACCTGAAAATAATTCCCACCCATATGACAGTTGTGTGTCTTTCTAAGAGGCGAGGGGGCCAGAGAATAAGCCAAACAATGAACCAACAGAACAGGTGGCAACCTCTAGTTGTTTCTTGTCTGGCTCACTCTTCAACCCTAAAGATGAAGGCGATATCTTCTTCCGAAGTATACAACGTCACAACTCAGAAGACTGTTAAGAATAATGATATCAATTAAAGATTAGAAGTCTGTGGGTATATTCCACTAACATGGCGCTTTTAGTTGCTGTGCTTATTACGAAATTCACCAAGTGTGTAAAGAAGAAGAGCAGATAATTCTACTTTTCAGGTTTTCATAGAATTTCTTTTCCAGCGCTTTGATAAAAGCACGGAATTACATAGGAAGACGAAATCCGAATACGGCCTGACCACGTGACAGTCCCGCCACACACAGATAACAGCGTTCGATATATCGACAATAGGAACGTATCATTCAGACTGGAATTCTATTTCCGCCAGGGGCCAGTAGGTGATCCTGTAGTCATCAGTGATTTTCAACTTCATGTGATTCCATTCTCCCACTGAGTGAAGATGGAGAGTTTTACTGCCTGTAGAGGAAAGAGAGAATTGAATGGCATAATGAAGGGTTACGAAAAGGGCAATAAATCGGCGTCTTGTTAGTAGGATAGGGTGACCCTCCCTCACAGCTTTCGCTTCACAGATTGGTACAGAATACTGATTCCTCCCATCTCGTGTTCAGTGCAAATAAATACGCACCCAAAACACATGCCAGTCGTAGCGTGAATGAGCACTATCCTTCTCTGGGGCGGAGGGTTTCAAAATTTGCTTGAAACTTATGTTACAGGCACTTAATATTGTAAGTTTCAAGGTTTTAACAATCATCATTATTAAGTTAGTGATCTTCTGGGTTCTGGCACCTTGTAGTTTTGTTGGCAGTTACAGAAATTTCGGAGGAATATGCTGTCTCCATCTTCAGGGTTGGAATATTTTGAGTAATATGNCAACCGCGGCAGCCCGGGTTAATCCCAGTTCTGGTCAAGTGGGATTTGTGGTGGACTAAGTGGTGCTGGGGCGGTTTTTCTCCGAGTACTTCGGTTTCCCCTGCCAATCTTCATTCCACCAAATTCTCCATCATCATAATCACCCGGGGCAGGTACAGTTGGCCAATCAGTGGCCGCCGTGCCTAGTGGACCCAGTTGGACTCCACCCCCCACTAAACGAATTAAAAAAATAATACATGAAGTTCAGAGTCTGTGGTCGCTGAGAAACTTCTAAATAGTAAATACGATTTTATTCCATGCATGCAACTATGAAGTTTCAGTCCATAAAATAATTCCATTTTAAAAATCCTTAAATTCAGTTGTTTTAAGATGTTCATGTAACAGGCGGCAAAATAACTGCAGTAAATGCTTAAGCACGTGGAAACCAAAGTACAGAGAGAAATTCTGAGATCATACGAACACGATGGCCTGGTACGTCAGTTTGAAATGTTGAAATTAAACAGACCTGAGCAGTGCCCACTAGCCTGGCTGTCAATGAATGAAATTGCTGGTTCACGTTAGATAGTGTTGTATGATCCGTTGTATGAAAGGGCCTCGGAATTTTAATTTATTGGTTGAGAGCTCTACAATTTGGAAACTAAGTTTAGAAACCTCCAGAGTAATAGATTTGGTTTTCATCAATTTAATCCAGGACGGCAGATTTGACCTTAAAATTAACTTCAATAATATTTATATAATTTCGAACCTCACAGAAAACGTCATTTTTAATATTGTTTAAATGAGCTTCCCGCTTCAAAGATGTAAAGGGTTTCTGTCCGATATGCTCATGAAAGAGCTCAGATAGCCCTAAAATCCTTTACGCGGGATAGCGGATGTTCTGGCAAAAATTCAAATTGGGTGCCTCCTGGAATCAAATCAGCAACAAATTCGGATCATCCTGTATTTCAGAGTACATAACTCGTGTAACGTTATGAGGCAGTTTCCGTGATGTTACAGTGGTTTCCTGGAGTGCAGGAGAGCTTTCCTCTACACTATACAGACTCGCAAGCGGACGGCTCAAATAACTCCAACAGCTCAACAACGTAAGGCCACTGGTCTATATTCAGTAGGTCCCAGCTCGATACAACCTGACGAATCGGACTAGTTGCGTCGCTCAGAATGAAGAAGGCGTCGGTGTGTAAACAGCTGCGTCGAGTAGCTGGCTGGCTCAGTAGTGGTCAAGAAATTCCCTGGAATTTTTAGAGCCCGAAGTTTCGTTACAGTGTTTAAAACAATCTGCCACTCCACCTTTTCCTGAGCCAGATTTATGCATTTCATACCCTCATGACTTATTTCTTTAATATTTATTTAAATATGAAATTGTATAGGCGATAAAACCTGTTTCGTTTTTGTCATAATTTCTGTTAGTAATAATTTTCGGCCCGAAGAGAGTCAGAATATTTCAGTCGGTATAGCGATGTCCTACGGACTGGACGGCATAGGAAACGGGGTTCGATTCTTGGCAGGGGCAACAGAATTTTCTCTTTTCCACATCGTCCAGATCGGCTCTCGTGTCCATCCAGCCTCCTGTCCAATGGGAACACGGGGCTCTTTCCCGAGAAGTAAAGTGACCGGAGCGTGAAACTGACCACTCACCAAGGTTAGGAGTACGCGGATCTTTACTTCTGCTTCCCCATACGTCTTCATGGAGTAGATTTATTAATTTATTATTAATGAACTTTAAATTAATCTGCGAAGTATTTTTCTTGTAGATTTTATGTTTGTAGTTTAATGTTATTTCTTAGGACTGAAATGAATTCAACATCTTTTGTTATCAGCCAGTTTTGGGCCCCCTTAACTGCCCCCCTGGATCACCAGGTTAAATCAGATGCGTTACCAATCAGAGCCATAGATCACGTGAAATAATCGCAAACGCTAAACGTTCTGGGCAAATATGCAACCATACGAGCTTCATTCCTACAGATGTAGTCACCACGACGTTTCGGCCACTAAATGACCACCATCCGATGCATGTACCCATACAATTATACAAAAACCACATCACTTCAACATTCTTAATGTTGTAAAATTTATTATTTTATGTAATTAAGGAATCAACTCAGATCCGTGTAACAACTGAGTAAAGATATGTTTAACCGATTAAGCACTACGCCATGAGGACGTATGGCGGAGTGGACGTTTTCTTGACCCCGGCACTAATTGAAGGTGAGTGGTGGGCTTCACGCCCATGCCGTTTTATCCCCGGGGAGAGAGTCCCCAGTACCCGTTGGATAGGAGTTTGGGTGGACCCCAAAGACGGTCTGGACCACCTGGAGAAGAGAAAATTCATGATCCTACCGGAATTCGAACACTGACACAGTAGCCCATAGCCAGCTGGTCTACCGAATGCACTATCCCGGCTCTCAAAAACTGAGTAAAATGAATATTAACATAAATCGTTTGAAATGATTTAGAAGTATGCAAAATATATGCAAATGATGTAAGCGTCACAACATGTATGCCGGGATGCATATGAATTGCATGATTGCATTTATGTCAACGCTGTTGCATCCGTTGCAGGAAACTTACCACAGATACACATCAGTTCTCATGGCGAAATAAATGTAAGTTAAAGTTCTATGCTGTGTGCATGATCTGCACTAACAATTTTAATTGTTGCCTCTGTAATCTAGAGATATGATAACTTTCTGCAGTTTTAATGCTTCTGTGTAATCTTGTTTGTGTAATCACCAGACAAGGAGCATTTAATGCCCGATACATGCGGTTTCACTGATTGATTCTACCTAAATGAAGCCTGTGTGTACGTAAAAATAAGTAAAGCTATCCCGGTAACAGGCCATGGAGGTCCATAGGGTTGTGAGACGTCGAGGATCCCACACTTTCTAGATAATCGGCTCACAGATGGCGGTGAGGTTGTCAGCCCTACACGCCAGCTGTCCTTTACACCACAGGAAGATTCCTGGTACTCATTTCTGTTAGAGGCTGAGTCGAGCCCAGGGCCATAGTGCGCCTGGAAGGATTATTGAATTGAAAAATTCAGTGACCTCATCAGGAATCGAACCAGGGACCTTCCGACTTGTAGCGCAGGGCCTTAACCAACTACGCTACCGCGTGTTCCTTTGTGAACATATAAAGTGAGCATTTATAAGGATACAGAAGGACGTTATAAAGTTGCATAAACATTCCATATACACGTACTATACCATACGCGGCTAATCTTGGCTATGAAATCGATTGTTGTACGGCAGACCACTGTTGGTTGCTCGGCACCGAACAATAGTGAAATCCTTCCTACTACTAGGCTAAAGCCATTTTCAACTAAATCGACCTTTGGCATTTGGGCCCCCAGTACGGGTATCGTAATTTTTCTGAAGACACCATGTGTGCAATTTCATTTTGACAGACAACTTCAGTAAATTGTTGAAATTTAACTGACATCGGTTTTTGAGAAAATCACCATTTTATGTTTTGGGACCCATATGAAAGGCCCCTAGTTTTGGACCTAGAACGTTCATGTTCACGGATAAACTATTGAATATCGAGTATAAATAAAATCCTTTCAGCTGTTCAGGATCTAGCGAGGGGCATATACAGACATACAGGTATATAGAGATGGCATACAAAAACCATTTTTTTCGGGTGCAGGAAAGTTGAAAACGTGCAAATCCCTCAAAATCTCGATTATTTCACCATCACAGAGCTGTCTCGTGCTGCGTGCGCGATAACCTACAAAAAACACACAAGAGCCATTGTCTTTCCTTTACCGGGATTTGTAAATGTTTGGTTTGTTCTGCCTGAATTCGAGTCCTCGAAATGTGAGAAGAGAAAATTTCAGCATACGAGACGGGTGTTCAGAAAGTAACGGCATTTATTAAATTCTGTCAACCTGAAAGACTGGAGTGTCTTGGAAGTTGCGTTCCAGATTCCATTCTGCAGGTTAATGAAACCCGTATTCTGTGGTTTTGATGCTTTGAGCTTCATCATCTCTCTCTGTATTTCT